GAAGAAGCAGTTCATTCATACTTGTAAGCTCAGAGAGACTGAGAAGGCTCACAGAAGGGGCAAGGTGACCAATGAACCGAGTTTTAAAGAAACAAGAGAACCTTTCTTTTTAGATGGCTGAAGGATACAGAGCTTTACTATAGAGGAAAAACCAAATGCAAAGAAATAGGCATGCAAGAGATGCTGGTATGTTTGCAGAACTTCCTGAGATTGGGAAAGCCAGATTTTAGGAAAGAGAGATTTAGTGTTCTGGAGGTAGCAGTGAGAGCCAGAGTGGTGCTCAGAGCTGTGGGAGAGAAGGAGCCCCACAGCAAGAGAGCTCTCTCCGGAGAGGAGAACAGGGTTTCAGTTAACCTGGCAGTTCTTACTCTTGGCCTTTGCTAAACAGTGGAATCATCTGGGCAGGGTGGGGATGGGGTGGGGAGGGTGGTCGTAGCACAGTGGTTAAGCACTGTGCACAGGGAGCTGGATCCCACATGGCCAGCTGTGGTTCAAATTCCAGAGGATCCTGATTGGAAGAAGGAATGAAGGAAAGGGGCTCATGGTGAGACCAGGCCCCACTGGGGGATATATTCTCATATCCTCATTCTCTCTTTCTCTCTCTGGCATGTGTGTGTGCCCTCTGGGATAATTAAAAACAAAAACAAAAACAAAACAGGGCCAGGGGCTGGCAGGTGGCATAGCAGTTAAGGTGCTGGGCTCCCACATGGCTGATGACAGTTCAATTCCTAGACCCAGCGGCTTGAAACTCATGCCAGGCATGTGTGCATGTGCACCCAAAATCCCAGGAGGAGAGTTAAAGGAGAAGGGACTGTAGTGTGCCCATCCCCACTGGGGAGTGATTTCTCACTTTCCCTCTCACTGTCTCTCTCTGTCTCTCTGGTGAAGACACACACCCTACGGCAAAAACCTTAAAACAGACAAACAAACAAACAAATAAAAAAAAAATAGGGCCATTCCTATAGCTTGGTGGTTAAGGGACCTAGATTCCACATGGCCAACTGTGGTTTGAATCCTGGCCCCAGTGGCTTGAAAAACACACATAGTGTATGTTCATGTGTGTTCCAAATCCTGACAGGATAGCAAAATGGAGGAGAAGGGATTTTGGCATGATCACACCCCAAAAAGCATTCTTTAATATAAACAATATGGAAACATTACTGCTTCTAAAAGTTCATAGCCTTTTTCTTTATCAAGTTAAAACTCAGCAATAACACATCAAGTATCATGAGATCTGTGGCCATAATATATTCTGATGATCTCATGTGATATACAGAAATCACTTCATGACTTTATATACAGCCTGTGTCGATCACGTGTATTTATGAGCTTTCAAAAGTACAGTGTACAACACCCTAGTTTTTACTCATCAAATTGTGAAATTAATGTGTTTCAAGAGGTAGTTTTCTGTCTATGCATGTATGAGAAACTCCAAAATTATTAAGTGAATTTACAGACATAGATCACCTCAGATGCCACCTTCGTTTTCTTTGAAAGTGTTATTCTCTTCTCTGTCCTATGATATATGCTGTACATTAGCTGAAAATCACAGTGTATTGATATTTCCATGATTAAGGAAAGAAGATATACACCCAGGGTTTATCTTCATCTATGATAATGAAAGAACATACCAAAGCTCTGCAACATTATGCTAACTGTAGTAATAGGAACATGCCAGCCCGTGGTCTTCTTCCCAGCTGTGCCGCTGCGTATCTCTACAACTTGGTGGAAACTAAGTTAATTAGTCCCATAGACCTATTGTCTCTTCTGTGAACATTGGAATAGATGGATCCTTTTAGTGCTGAGGTCTCTGATTCTCTGTTGTAATTCTTCTGTTTAAGAAAGATTTCATGTAGATAAAACATCATAAAATACAGTTGAGGGACAACATGTCCTGGATGAATTTTCCATGTTCCCCCCTGCTTAGCACAGTCAAAAACCCTGGACATAATATAACAGAAAGAAGATTTTCAAAGATATAAAGAAGAAAAAGCACTGGCTGGAGACCACAGGACTTGAGGAATGGCATGGCAGCACATGCTCTGAGTTTTCTTTTTACCTCCATATATTCCAAACTAGGCGCTGGAGAAGCCTGCAACCTAAAAATGCTAATGAGAATGGACAAAAAAAAAATTCCCTCCCTCCCAAAAGCTGCTCTCTCTCCAGAGGACTGGGGAAAGGGCAGCTAAGCTGGAGATAAACCTTTTTGACAGTAACTACTCTACTCCAGCCAAACACCATGGATGTCCTTTCCTCAGGGTCAGCAGAGACCACATCAACTGAGGAGCCTGGTCTCTTGACCTTTGGATGATGGCAGTAGACAGTCCAGGGTAGCACTTCCCTAGCTGGCAGACATGGCTTCAGCACAGACCAAGGAGAAATCTGTCTTCTAACCCCAATCTGATGGTAGCAGGTGGCCTGAGTAGGCACTTTATGCTCTTACAATGGCACTGGGACTGAGACTTCCCCAGATGAGCAAAAACTCAAGGAGTTTATAGACTTCCATAAGAAATTCTAAAGGGAGTCCTCCATTCTGGAATGTACATTAGTCCCCCCTTATCCATGGGACATATGTTTCAGGATCCCCCAGTGTATGCCTGAAACCCTGGTAAATACTGAACTCTCTATATAGTATGTTTTTATTATAC